CAGTGACCAAAACTAAAAACGGCATGACACCCAGGCAGTTAAAAACTGAATGTGTCTTTAAAGACACAAAAGAAAATTACTTACGGCATTCGGGTAGCATGCACTTCTCAGTCTGGTCCAGCTCTTCTGTGCACTTTGCAGGATCAGACTTTAGCATCCTCTGACGTGTTCGAATGCCCTGGCCACACGTCACACTACACTCACTCCAGTCTGACCAGGGAGACAGCATGCATGGGATAGTATCTGCAGATGAACAAGCATAAATGTATAACTAGTAAGCAAACCTTATTCATACTCATGTACAGTTTCTCAACTGAACTGAACTCCAGTGTAAAAAACTCATGATAAATAATTGTCAGCTCACAGCACTCTGGCATCATGCATTTCTCCACTTCGGCCACCTCGGTTTTACACATGGAACCATCTATGGGAGGCATCTTGACCATGCGCTCACGTCTCTTCATGCCCAACCCACAGGTGACGCTGCAGGGGTCCCACTCCCCCCACTCAGTCACCACACAGCTGCTGGGTGCTGTGGGAAGGACAACATAACACAGCAATAAAATAATGTCAAGAAACAACAGAATGTCATTTAATGCAAAGTTGCCACACGTTTAAGTTTGACTGCTGAGGTCAAACTAGTTGCTCTGTTTTCTGAGAATGTTCAGCAACTTTATTAACTGGCTTTCTATTTTTTTTTTCCCACAAAAAAATTTATTATATAACATGATCTTAGAACTATTAATTGTACAGTTTTGCTTGTTAGCATGCTAATATTTGCTAATTAGTACAGAGCTAAGGCTGATGGGAATGTCATTTGTTTTCCAGGTATTTGGTCATAAACCAAAGTATTGGACAAAGTGAACTTTTGACCTGATTGTGGCATTACATGAAAAGTCAGGGAGACACCTATAGTAGGTTCCTGCAATTCATCACAAAGTGGAAATGAATAGATGTACAAAATTTCAATCTCTTCAGTAATTTTTGAGACATATGTCAACCTTTTGTTGGCACTAGAGGAAAGGTCAAGAAATAGAATTGCATTGTTGTTGTTTTTATTTTTAGTTATATTTATTCCTTATGAGTCTTTACATTTTGCCTTTTATTTTGACATCTTGTACTTCACTCTTTATATTCACACTTTAAAGCTTTTTTACTTCTGAAAATATTTATGAATTCTAGATGTAATAATATTTCATTTTATTAATATAAAGATAGCAGGCTAAGCACAGAATTGGTACTGGACATTTTGTTTTATGATAATAAAGCATAGTATATAATGTACATTTTTAATTTTTACACTCAAACACATAGTAACTTGCATTTACAGTAACTAACTTCCAAATCAAAAGGAAGTGGAGCTTTAATAGTAGTAGTTTAGATGAAAACAAAAAATTATCATCACTCTATACACCTGTAAAAGTAAAGGAAATAATATGCAGATGATTATACTGCATTTGAGGTGTAACAGTATAACAGCTAACTCAAATTAAACATGTGGTTCATATCACAGTCAAAAATTAAGATAATTCTGACAACTCCAGGTTGTTGTGGTCTTTAATTGGTTGACTAACTATATTTCTTAACAAGATGACACACATGCTACACATGCATGTACTGTGGCACTACAGCATTAAGGACTCACAGCATTCATCGTTGATGATGCACTTCTCTGTCTCCTCAGTGTGGAGCTGACAGAGCGAGCCGTCCTCAGGATACTGTTTGACATAACGCTCTCTAGACCTCATCCCCATCCCACAGGACACACTGCAGGCCGACCAGCTGATCCACTCCGACATCATGCATGTCGACGGCTCTGCCCGCCAGAAGAGGAATAAAGAATCTTGACATTTTACATTTTTAAAATTTGTCTTGGCCAAGTTATTACTGGGAAAGGTTCCACATTTGCACTTGAGCAGTTTAAAAAATGGCTTGTTTGTCATAATTTGCAGGTGCAGTAGCCTTGTCGGCATGCCACACTGCACCCAGTACAAAAGTAGGTCTTGACCATTTATTTCAATGAGGCACTGTACAACAACAATTTCATTTTGGTCAAAAATGTTTGGCTACCACTGCAAAAAGTTTCAGTTGCACTGTGAAATATACCAATGCTCCAGGACTCTGTGTGCTCTAAACAGATTTAATTAAAGACAGGTGTCATCCTTAAAATACTAGTTTCAGAATGAGGTTGTTAGGTTATTTTTTAGTTAGATAGATATTCAGAGATTTGTTGTCTATGAATGTTTAGTGCAGACAGGGTGACTAGCTTAGGCTGTTAACTATTCAGCCTGCAGTGCAGACTGCAGGCATGTCAAGGTTACAGGAAAACTGCTGTTAGTGTCAACTGTAATGCTAGTCTTAATATTTGTCTTAATGTGTAAGGTTATGTCCAATTGTTTTAGATACACACCACGAAAACAACAGTCACGCACCTTGACTTTTCCTCATGTTTTGGCTAAACGTTATAGCAGCTGCAAAGCTTGCTTATCGGGTGGCGTCACGGTTTGACGCCCCTTGTAGCATGGGCTAGCCCAAAAATGATTAAGATTATATAGGCGTTTTGGTCCAGGCTTCTTGAGCCTTTCTGCTGCCTGCGCGCAGGTAGAGGGGTGAGAGAGGTCTGGACGTGTAATGTAAACCAGGACAGATATATTTTTTATATAGTCAAGTGGTCTGAGTCGTCGCTCTGAGTCCCTGGTTTGAAAGAACCGGATTAGGCTTTATAATGGTTTTCAGCCTTTAAGGTGTACAGACACAAAAAGGGGAAAAACAAAGAGACACGGAGAGGTGAAGGGTCAAAGTCAGCTGCAGAAAGGCCCCTGGGGCCTATTTCAAGAAGGCGGTTTTGTCGAAACTCAGAGTTTGTTAACCCCGAAATGAGGGAAACTCAGAGTTTTCCAACTCTGGGTAAGTCAACTCAGAGTTCAGGTTTGAACTCTGAGTTTGTTAAACCGCCTTCTTGAAATAGGCCCCAGGAGCTGAGATAAGTCTGAAAATGTATTATTCCCAAATAACAGACTTGAACGTGGGAGTCATGATAACAGCTGGGAGAATCCTCCACAGGGTTAGGACCAGTGGCTCAGTGGTTCCTTTGTTTAAGGATGTTACTACATTATGTCAGTCAAACAGTCAGCTGCACTTTTTAAAATAAATAATTTATAAACAATTTATATCCATATCCAAATTTGTTTACACAAAATATATATTGTTATTGTGAAATGCCCAGATGGGATTGTTTTATTTAGGACAGTTTTTTTTTTGTTTGTTTCAGGTAAATAGTTGTTTTTATGTTATAGTTTTAGTATGAAATGTACATTTTTTTACAAAGTAGTTTGAACTACTTTTTCTAATTTCCCAACATTGGTGGCACCCCTACCTTAAGGACACCATCAAATACTTTGTACAGAGTTGTGAAATATGTAATCAATATAATTCAAAAACATCACTGAAAGCAGGGTTGGGCAGTTTTCCTGTCCCAGACGCCCCATGGAAGGAAATAGTAATTGATTTCACTGACATGGGTGCGGATCACAGAGTTCCAGAGAATGGGACTCCAAGGTTGAGCAGCCGCCTCCAAGCTTGACACCACCAAGTGCGATGCAGAGCATCTGATGATGAGGTGAAGTTGCTTTTCAGGAACTGAAATAACTTAGAAAAAATCAACTGGACTAGATTTCTAGGTCGAAGACGTTTCACCTCTCATCCAAGAGGCTTCATCAGTTCTGACTGACTGGTGTTGAGCCGAAGATATTTATCCCCATTGGTGGTGTTTCAGTCCTTAGAAGGCCAACAATGTCCCTTAACAACTGAGTTGTTATAGCCCAGTATCGGTGATAGTCGTTACCTGTCTTTGGATCCTCCCCTGTTGACCGACGCCTATTGTCCTGGTGGGCATGTTTGGGCAGAGATCTCAAAACAAGATTGTAGATGGAAGACAAGTTGTGTCTTAGTCCACCACCCCTATTTAGTGAGGGGTGTTCAATTTTTTACAAAAATAGCTTCCTTAACCAGCGATGTTCTCTGGAGAGGATCTGGACTTCACTGTCCTCAAAAAAATGTCCTTTGTCCTTCAGGTGGAGGTGGACTGCTGACTCTCTTACAGTCCTCGCCTTCCGACAAACTGAGAACAGCATTGCTCACAGGCTGTGGCCTAATAAAGCAGAACTAAGTGAATCATTAAAAAAAGATACAGGTATGTTAGGTAATTTTTTAGTCAGATAGAAATTGGTTAGATACTTGTTGTATTAGAAATGTTTAGTGGAGACAGGATGTCTAGGTAGGCTGTTAAATGCTTAGTCATTCTCATGAGTTTCTTGCAGGGTGCATATGGCCAAGGATAACTAGATAGAAAAGTTTGATTGTCAGCAGGCAGGATGATTATTGTTATTATTATGATATGTGTAACCGTAATTGTAATCATAATATTTTCTTATGTGTAATGTCATGACATGTCACTAGATGTCATGTCAGAATGTTCTTAGATACACACCATGAAATCAACATTCACACACATTGATTTTCTTCATGTTTTGACTATTGTTA